AGTGCCGGCTGCGCTCACAGAGCCTGCTCCCGTGGGCTCATTTCCCTGAACTGCACGCGTGAGGGTGCACCGGTGGGGTCATCTAACTCTGTAGATGCCATGAAATCCAAGTGCAGATGAACACGTTCCCATAACCAACAAGCTCATGTATTCTGGGTCCTGATTGCAAATTAAGAGGGTACCAGAGAGCTTCCTGAGGCACAGACGGGTGCCTGGACTGCCGTTCCCCTGACCCCAGACATACCACAGCTGGTCCAGGGGAAAGCTTCCTCCTACAGCATCTCCTGGAAAGCTAAGCCTGCTTGTTTTCTGAATGTTTTGGACTGAATTTGTCCTTTCTTCCTTCCTTTTCTGATTGGCTGTTGATTGTAGACATCTTTCTTACCTTTCAGCCATTGCAATGTAGTGCTTTGCATTTCAGAAAATCAGGGTAGGTCCTAGGCCCATCAGCCCAGCTGTGAAATGAGATTTTATCCCTGTATGTCATAAGAGTTTGGGGAACAGAAGGCCTTTCCAGCTGGCTTTCTAAGGAGGGAAAGGAATTCTATCTGCCTCTGCCTTTTCAGAAACATGGATGATATTCTGCAAAGTTCCTGACCGTGGCAATAACTAAACAGAAGTGAACGGCAATCACCAGGCCCGAAGAGCTGGTCAGCGTGAGCCGGACAGGCTTCTGAGCTCTGAGTGCCAGACCCTCTTCCTAGGCCCTGGGATGATCCTGGCAGGTGTAGGTGAAGTCTTCCTGTGCAGCTACCTCCTGAACTAGGGGAGAAAACAGCATTGGCCCCTGTGCACTGAGGTGTCACCCTTGCTGCCCAACTCACTCTGTCTGTACTCCCAACTCTTTGGTTTTCTTCTTCCTAAATATTCTTCAAGCAATATAAAAACTCAAAGGGCTTGTCCTCAGATGTCTGACAGTTCACCCTTTTACAAACCAGAGCTGGATTTAATTCACATTGAGAGGCATATGGTGGTCAACGTGTTCTCTACATAGGGGCTGCAAGGACCCCTTGGCTGTGCCCTCTGGAGACACTGAGTGTGGGCCATTGATCAGAAGACCTAATTCATGAAATTCAAATGTAAGGTTCTTATTCTTTTTGACTGCTAACATCTGGCCATCTGGGAGCATTCAGATATTAAGCTTCCTTTACTTGAGATGAATGTCTTGTGTAAGCTGCAACAGGCGTGATGTCTTTCTCCCAGCTCAGTATCTTTCACCAGAAACACAAGCACAGGACAGTCAGCCCATTCAGAAGTCCAAACAACACTCTGTTGAACCAGGAAAAGAGCACTGGCTCCCAGATGGGTAAACTGAGGCCCAGATGTGATGGTCACTAAGGTCACACAGTGAGTGTGTAGAGGAAAACAGGGCCAGGTCTTGCATCTGAGAGTGCCTTGATTAAATTCATTATCAAATTATAATATCAAAGGTTGAAATTAAAATTTGGATGAGTGATCTCTAGATATGAATATGACACTTTGTGAGAAAAAAGAAGTGCTGGGGAATTAACAAAAGAGGGAGATAACAGTGGTGGAAGGATGCCCATTGGCGCCGCCGGAGCCCTCGGCTCTGCCTTTCAGCCTTCCAGCCTCAGGCACTGGCGCAATGTCGGGATTTGCTCATCAGCAAAACAAAGTTCACTCACAGGCCTCTGCTAATGCATGGCCTCTACAGTTGCAACTTATCTGATCCCCACTCCTCCTGTGCCTAGAGGAAAATGACGCTCAGCCCTGGGATTGCACGTCCCCTCCCCATGACACTTTTTGAAGAAAGGCAAGAGGTCCTCTATGTCCACTCTGCAGATAGGAAGACAGAGGCCCAGAGACACCGTGACCTGCAGAAGATGCTCTCGCGTGCATGCTGGGCCTGGGGTTGGAGCCCTGGCCTTTCTCCATCCACAGTCATGAAGGAAGGAGCATGCACATGAGGGGCTACTCAGCTTCTCTGCTCTGGCTCTGCTGACATTGGGGCTGGATAATTCTGTGTTGCAGAAAGGGGAAGGTGTCCCATGCATTACAGGATGCAAAGCAGTGGCCCTGGACTCTACCCACTCAATGCCAGCAGTACTCACTGTCAGCACCCATCAATGTCTCCAGACATTGAGAAATGTCTTTGTGGCAGGGAGAAAACCATTAGGTTAACAGAGAGAGTGGAGGGGAAAGCAATTTATCACCAAAGTGCGTGCAAAAAAAAATCATGGTCAATATCAATGAGAGAGGCCCATTCCAAGTCCAAAGTACTGTTTGCTAGGAAACTATTGAGGTTCCTCCAGAAATGTCCCCTAAGATACAGGCTGTACAATTCAGACCCATCACAAACTGTTATCAAGTTGGCCTCCCTTCCCTTACTGTGTCATCTGGAAGCCACCACCCCAGCTTAAGCTCTTGTCCCGCTTCATCCTCATGGGGCCATGTGGCCTTCCCACCGCCCTCGCTGTGAACCCCCTGAAGTCAGGGGTCCACTTGGTGTCTCTGCACCGCCCCAGGACAAAGCAGCAATTGTTCCTGCTTCAACGTACAGCATTGAGCCAGTGCTTTCTCTCAACTGATTCCAAAGGACATCAGTTCTTGTGAACTCCTCCGTGGTAAATTAGGCAAAACTTTGACTGAAAAGAAAATGTGAGCTAAGGAGCTAAGTCCAGAGAGCCTTGAGAACGAAGGAAGACTTGGAAAGGCGGCTTTCACCTTCCAACACAGTCGGCAGTTGTTCAGGTCCTGTGCTTCAAAAGGCCTATGTCGTGGCCTGTGGCAGGCAGGCTGTGGTGGACCTGGTGCAGTGCGGGGCCCCCTGGCATACCTGGGTTCACAGATGGCTGGCAGATCACCAGAGGCTGCAGGGGGTGCTGGGTGCAGGGCCGCTTCCCTCTGTCTCTTCGGGACTGAGCTGGGGGTCCGTGCCATGGAGAAATGGCCTCCAAGGTTTAAGTTCCTTTATCTGCTGACACTTCCTCTGGCTTTCAGAAAACTGGCAGTGGGTGGGATGCTCCTGCCCTCTTTGATGGCAGTGATTAGACAGGTACAAATGATTACACATGAGCTTCGTTATCTCCTTTCCTTCCGCTGCTCAGAGACAGGTGGACACCACAAAACTTCATTGCACGAATCACAGCATGGCTGCCACACAGGCTGGGCAGCTCTCTGAAAGGCCAGGTCCCTACAGAGCTGGGGGAGGGTTCTGGAACCTGCTCCCACCCTAGTTCTTTTTGGCCTTCACTTCCCACTTCACTCAAGGTCCTCTTCAGTTCCTATCCAGGAAACAGGATGTCAGGATACATTCATTTCAATGTGGTGGTATTTCTGTTCAATTCACATCGCAGCTGTAAGGAAAGCTGGAGTGACCACCTCTTTCCAGTGATTCATTCCAGCAGTAACAGTAAGGGGACAAAACAATTGAGGATCCTGTGGAATCTGGAGGCCTCATTTCTCACGTGCTAAACTTCCTTATCGGAGAGGATCCCGAGGATCAGATCTAAACACCCTCTCCCTGCAACCACTCTGGGCTGATGCCAGCTGTGGGTGACTGAAAGACTGTGCTGTCCTCGGGGGTCATGGGCTGCCCACTCCAGGCTTGTTCCTCTCATCTTCCTTTAGCTCCCAGTGCCCACCAACTGTCACAAGGGGAGTTGGTCCTCCAAGCTGAAGAGACAACAGCCTTGGAGACACGAATTTGGCTTAACGTGGAACATTCCTTCTCTGATAGGGACATTCAACTCTGGAGTGCACTGAAACCTGGAAGCCTCACAGTGAAGCAGCAAGGACATTCCTGAGACTGAGGAGCCCTTCGCCCCTGGAAGCCCCCAGAGCCGCTGAGCACCTGTCGTGTGCAGTGATGGGCCCATGTGCTCCCCGCCTGCAGGATGAGGAGACATCCGGGAGACGGAGGCATAGAAAAGATAACACAAAAACCCACATTCTCAGAAGGTCCCACAGAAACTTTGGAGGAAATATTGGGTTTTATATTGTGATTTACAGTTATTTGCCCCTGACAAGAGTGGGAGCTGGTGTCAGGGAGGCTTAGAGACCCGGAGCTTCGATGCTTTCCGTATTCCCGGGTGAAAGTTATTTGGTTTGTCACTGATGTGAGCTTCATTGTCATAAACCACATTTTTTCATCACTAGCTTATACATTTTTAAACATCATCCTTATGGTCAAAGAGACACGCATGTTAAAAAGTCAAAAACTAATTGGCATGGTAGAACTATCTGCCTGCCTCCAAATAAAATTACTTGAGTATAGTTACATGATTTTCATATCACTGCCATTGATGGGAAACATCAACTATCTATCTGAATTAGGGAATGTGTTATTTTCTATTTGCTAGGGTGCATTCTTAAAAATAAACTCATAAGACTTTAATATTTATTCTTGTTCTGTTATGAGAACACACATCTTGGACACATCACGAAAGATGAGACAGAAATAGTTGTACTTATTTTGTAGTGACCTGGATTTATCATCAGATGTAAAAATCAGGACATGAGATTTTGGTAGAGAGATAAAAGTCGGACCACATGCCGAACGATATTAGTGGCAGATGTGATCGTCAGAGGAGCGATGGCATTTCCTCTGAATGGGAGGATATGTTCCTGCAACTTGGATGTTAGCATGATGAGCAATCAAAGTGTGCTTTGTTCCCTAGCCTTCACATGCTCTCCATTCTGGCAGTTATCACTTACTGGTATTTCTAAAATCAAACACTGTCCTGTCCTCTGGATGGACGCCGCCTCAGTGCCGCTTTTGAGCTGGGCCATACAGTCGGCCGTTCATAAATATCCAGCGCCATGAGCTAAAAATAAGTGCCACGGGGCACATGCTTTGCCTTTTGACTTAATGCACCTCTATACCTACCCACACAAACATTCCCATACATACATACACGCCCCTGGCTTTCTCTGTGGGTTCCTCGGGTGCTCAGCCCAAGGACGTGTTCTCTTAGCACCGACGCCCCTCACATAGCTCTCCACCCCCCAGACACCCATTAATTGACTGCAAATGCAACTTTATTGCAAAGTGACTGCAGCTTTATTAAGCAACTGGATTTACAGGCAATAACATAATCAATATAACATTAATATAGCACATAATTAAATAAGATTCCTACAAGGTCCTGCCTGGATCCTGAAATATAGAGAAGTTAATTGTTTTCATGGATGGCATTAACTAGAGGGATCAGAAACCAAAGTTGGAAGAACACAGTTCCCAGTTGTTCTTTTTTCTGGTCCAGCATATTCCGTCTGATACAAATAGGATGTGATCTCCCAACCCACAGGCATACAGTATGACCAGGAACTCCCTCAAGACTCCCCTCTCCCAGCCCCTGGGGGGCGGCAGTCACTCAGCCGACTAATGCTCTCTTGATGAACTGAGGGGTAAAAGGCAAATAGCAAATTGTGTTTAATTTGTTTCCCACCAGCAGAAACGGGACAACCCACCACAAGGTCTTGGAAAATGACCACAGAATGCGCCATGACTGCTGGAAAATGGAAGAGCTCAGTCCTCCTGGAATGAAGTCAGCCAGCACTGTCTCTAAAGTCATGAGCTCAGATTTCAAATTCAGGGAAATCCCTGTAGAATGTTCTTGCAAAGGGCCCAGTAAGGAAAATACTGCGAGAAGGAAGTCTGTTCAGTGGGAACATTGTGCATGGGTGCAGCCGATGGAGTATTTGAAAGACAAACATTGCACACAAGGAAGAGTCCTAAGGGAGGATGTGGCTGTCTCATTAACTCCATGCAGTCCAGCCTCGTAACCACACTTTGCCCCATGGAGCTTCCTACCTGTGCCCCCATAATTTCAGGAACTTAGACATTAGCTGCTTACACTTTCCATTCCCCTTCATTACCACCTACCACTGCCAAAATTAACTGTTTAATTTAAATAAAGAACTAAAGTTGATGTAGCTCTTGAACACAAGGGTGTCCAAAACCATCCTTAAGCCATTTGGCATCATATGCAGCTCAGTGAGATGAGGAAACAGAGGCGTCACCATTGGCAATGCTTTCCACAGGTTCCATTTCATATAGGACGCTGGCTGGATAACTTGCAGAAAGACCTCTACGCTTAAAAGGGTCCCAGTCTCAGAAAGAAAGCAAGGCATTTGGGCACAGGGTCTCAGTTGCAAAGAGAATACTTTGAATGCACTTAGATATGGAGCCCAGTATTGGTCCAGAATCAAAGCAATTGCTATTCATCAAGTGAATTTCAACAGGTCCTTGTAAAATCCCTCTGAATGAGAAAGGCTTAGAGTCCAGACGATACAGGAAAACAAAGCTGTTCATGTGCAAAGGGTCCAAAGACTGAGTTGTCAGGATCCGGACAGTGGTGATGGTTGACAGCATCATGACCGCAACCAGTGTGGCCAAGCCAGGAGATGCTGGGAGGCTCAGAGTGGGAGGAGAAACACACACAACCACTGTGGCCCAATTTCAAGGTCAATGAGGATGACCTGCTGGGGCATGTGCGAGTTCTTAGGGATGGAGTCAGGGAATGAAGGCTGAGCTCAGGAACAGGGAAGCAGGCAGATCTGTGGAATCTGTCTTGAGCGTGCCAAGCCCTGGAGACCCGAAGGCCAATGCTGAAGCCCTGCCTGCTCACATCTCCCAGGTGCCCTCTGCCCCCCTTTACTGGCCACCTTTCTCGGGGGGCCTGAAGACTCTGGGAATGTGCTAACACAGAGTCACTTCCTCATACATGCTGTCTTGTGTTCACACTGGCCACAGGTGGCCCTGACTAGCAAATTCCTTCTTCTCTCCATTCGTAGACAGATTTGTGGGTACTTAGCAACTCCACTCAGCCTTGCGGGGTTCATTTTCCTACCAGTAAAATGAGCTCTGTGTACCCTACAGGGTCCATGAGGTTATAGCAATGAGACAAAGACATGTGGGATAGGAGACTTTCCTTCGGTAAACACACAGGTTCACAGGCCTCAGTCATCCGCTCTGGTGTCTACTTGAACCAAGCTAGCAACGCTGATCCTCGTCTCTCCCCGTGCCCTTCCCACACCACCTCCAACACCCACATGCCACACACACATGCAGACATTACATGCACACGTCACTTACCATTTAGAACCATTGCTAGATCCCTCACATCATAGACAAAACCCGGCCACAATCACGAGGGTGGATGTCATATTCATGGTGGCTGTACCTTTAGTCTGCAGAGCGATCTGGGGCAGCCATGCCTCCTCCTTTTCTACGTCAGCCTTTCTGCCCCTTGCTGTTCCCACAGAGCCTTGTCACCAGGAAGACACTCTCAGAGATGCCCTTCCTGGGGTGTGGGCAGCTACAGAAACTTCAGGGGAGAGACACAAAGAGACTGATGCAAACGACTGAAAGACATGGGTTCCTCTGCTTTTTGCCTCTCGGCTGCTGAGTGCCTTTTCTTCCCCAAACCCTGACTCACCTTTGCTTTCTCTTCTGCATGGTTCCCCAAAGGGCGCCTGGGTTGTGTTTGTAAATCAGGCTGGAGCTGGACAGCTGTTCCTCTGGCTTTGCATCAGAACATCAAGGACAAGTTGTGGGGGACAGTGTTGGTGGCATCCCAGGTCCTGTCCTCAGGATGTAGGACACACTGCAGAGTCAGGCTAGCAACACTAGGGAACTAAAAGGCTAGAAACTTACCTGGGTAAACAGAAACACACACACACACACACACACACACACAAGCAATTTTGATGATAAAGACCTAAAGAATGTAAAAAGGCTGCTTCTAGCACGAATTCACAGCCTCTGAGAATCAGAAGAAACTGGAAGCCATCAAGATGTGCAAATTACCCCAGTGGAAAAACGCCCTCCACAACACCATAGCAAATGCTTTCCATCTTCTTGAATGACTCCTCCTTGGGTCATTTCTGGAAACCCCTAAAGTCTTCCCTCCGAGCCTCTCTTGCTAGAACACTGTTCCTTAGATGAGCTGATGTCTTCCTGGACTTCTATCCACAGCAGTACTCCTTCCAGCCTCTTAATAAAAGGGGAAAAATCTGCTAACTCCTCATGAAATGACCGTAAAACAGCCAATGGTGTCATCTTAGCTTTCTCCTTCCCATGCCGAGCAGACACACTATCCCAAACCATCAGCAAACACTCAGCCCTTCTCCTGCATCAGGAGCCCTGATTAGAGATAAGTCACAAAAGCAAAAAAAGCGGGGGAATCTGAACATGAGACCCGGAATTAGAGTAAATCAAGATGCTCCTCAGGTACTACAGGAAATCCCACTCGTAAAGAACTTTGAAACATGTAATGAATATGTATGTCTGGCCTGTGCACACGATGTAGGAGTTTCATCTGTGTTTGCTTCTGAGCCATCAAGAAAGGAAGCATCAAAGGCATGAATATGAAGCAGCAGGTGCATCTGCCTGTAAAGAATGATGCAGGCTGGTGTGGCAGCTCATGCCTGTCATCCAAGCACTTTGGGAGGCCAAGGCAGGAGAGTCGCTGCAGTCCAGGAGTTTGAGACAAGCCTGGGCAACATAGTGAGACTCCATCTCTATATGAAAAAATTTAAAAATGAGCTGGGCATGGAGGTGTGCACCTGTAGTCTCAGCTACTCGGGAAGCTGAAGCAGGAAGATCGCTTGAGATTGTAGTGAGCTAAGATTGTGCCACTGCACTGCAGCCTGGGTGACAGTGAGATCCTGTCTCAGAAAAAAAGAAAGAAAATAGAAAGTAAAAGAAGCTATGTGGTCATCATTGTGAGTTGACATTTAGTTCTAAAGATCCAGCAAATACCATCACCAGCCCCTGAAAATCCTGTTAAATAAAGTGTATGCGTCCCCAGGGAAGTCACACCAAATGACAATAGATTTCTTCTCTCTCTCTCTTGCTTACAGAGGAGAAAGGAAATCAGCATTTGTGGATAGCCTACAATTTGCTCAGCATCTTACTTGAGAAGAATTATAAATATCATATTATTTTAAATGTGCATTTTTAGAAGAGGCTAAAATCTTAGTGGTCCAACTGCACAACTACAGAAGCCAAGAGAAAGGGAGGACCAAGGCCCTGGACGGCACTGTGGTCTGACGCAAAGCCTGGGCTATTTTCTCGAGGCTCACGAGCCTGAGCCCTGTAGGCTCTGAGCCCTGTAGCCCTGTAGGCAGAGCATACTGTAAGGCCCAGGACTTTCAGTCCTGAAGGCCAAGGGCATTCCATTCACCCACCCATGGAGGCAGGAGATGGCTTAGCCCTTGCCGGTGGGGGCGCACAGTCCCAGTGGGAGACTGTCCCCCGCAAGGGCTCACTGTGACACTCAGAGGAACACGAGTAATGCGTGCACTGGCAGCCCTCTGCATACCACGGCACTGCGGGTCTCCTCTTCCATCCCATACACACCGGGCCGGGGGTGGCAGTACAGGAGTAACCAGGATCTTTACTGTCACTGGAAAGCAGAACTGGAGAACCAGGAAGATGGAACCAACTGCAAGTTCTGAGAACCATGGGTACCCGTTTTACGTAGAACTCAGATGTCTGTGGCAATCGAGAAACAAGCGCTTTCTTCCTACAGAAGGAAGGTTGCTAACAACACTCCAGCCTGTCTTACTCTGGTGTGAAAAGACATCATTAAGAAAAGAAATAGTATTGCTTATTGATGAGAGAAAATTGCAATCCAATTTTAAAAGGAAACTATTGCGACAGATCTGTCCCATCCCTAGGGGTTAGTGAAGCAATGGCAGGGGCTGGGGGCCACAGAGGGCCGTCAGGGAGCAGCGCACACCGAGACTCCCATGGCAGGGGAGCTCCCACAGCCCTTCAAGGATCAGAAAGACAGCCACACCGTCACGCACCACGCAGGCATGGCAAGAGCCCCACCTCCTCTCATGCCAGTGGGCAGGGGGCAGGGGGTTATATTCAGAGGCAATAGACCTCGAGCTCCCGAGGTGACTTCTGTGCCCCAGTCCCACCAGCCTTAAAATTACATGAATAGTAACTCCAGCCTCACCAGATCCATTACTCCGTGTCGACTACAAAGAATGCCTGGCACCCCACAACCGTTCCTTCAGGTTCAGGAATGTTGATGGTCCTAAGTCAGGACTAAGATGCGTTCTCGCCCATCTGCCTGCGCACATGTGTTGACACTCGTGGGAAGTCATTTTAAAGTCATCTCTTTAGGGCTGGGAGATAGGCTTCAATTTTCTAAAATATGAACTGTTTTTACATAACACATGCCCCAGCACTGATTTTTGACTCATCGAAATTAAAATGTCATCAGTAAAACGCATCCAACAGCGGAAATTCCAGAGAACTTTCCTGCATCTGAGCCCTTCAGGAGGTGGAAGGCAGGGAATGAGAACAAGGGCTTACTCTCATTCCTACCTGACAGTCACAAGTCATGACCCGCACTGATGATCTCTGGACTCTCCCTCCAACAGTAACATCTTCCTACCATGGGTAAGGCATTTCTTCAACTTTGATACTCTCTAGCACTTAGCAGCCAAGAGGCTGGAGTCAGTATGCAATGTGAGGGACAAGGAGGTTATGCAACTCTGGGAAGTTACACCCTTCTACTTCCAAAAGGGAAAAGAGATTGCACAGTGATTGTTAAAGCCCCAGAGGAATTCTTCCACATCAAAAGCGATCCAGAATGAACAGTTGACTCTGGTAATTGTAAATATATCTGAAACATGTGCATTGAATTCAGCCCCTTAAAATTATGGATGGGTGTACCCAACTGCACAGTGTTTGAACACCTCAAACTTTCTAAAAATACTTGGGGTTCAAAGTAAGCTTCTCAAAAAAAAAAAAAAAATCAAAGCCATATGTTTCTGTTTCATTTATACTTACCTTATCAAAATGTTTGCTTTTAACAGATATTTGATGCTCAAAATGTTTGGGGGGCCTTTCTTTTTCTTTTTTTGAGACAGAGTCTTGCTCTCTCACCCAGGCTGAAATGCAGTGGTGTGATCTTGGTTCTCTGCAACCTCCATATAAACATGGCATCTTATAAAATAACAAAATAATATTTAAATAAAGGCATGAGTTACAACATGGAAAGTCAGGAAACCAAGCAGAGAGTTCAGATGTTTTGAGGATGGTCCTGACCACATCTGTATATTTCCTTACATTTCTCTTGATTTGATTGGAAGAATCTTTTTTTTTTTTTTTTTTGAGATGGAATCTCCCTCTGTCACCCAGGCTGGAGTGCAGTGAGGCTATGTGGGCTCACTGCAACGTCTGCCTCCCAGGTTCAAGGGATTCTCCTGCCTCAACCTCCCAAGTAGCTGGGATTAGTGGCATGCGACACCATGCTCTGCTAATTTTTATATTTTTAGTAGAGACAAGATTTCACCATGTTGCCCAGGCTGATCTCAAACTGCTGGGCTCAAGAGAAATGCCCGCCTTAGCCTCCCAAAGTGCTGAGATTAGAGGCATGAGCCATTGCGCCCAGCCACCTTACTTAACACAGTTAAAAAAAAAATCTGCCTTCTTAGAAGTAAGGAGTATTTCCCAAGATAAAATGAACATCAATCCATGTTTTCAAACTTGGCTAATAAATTATTTTCTATCTTTATTTTTCTATGTGGGTGACAGAGGGAGGAAAAATGAAGAGGAAGGCAAGTGCCTTGGACGTAGTGATCTTCTTGCTTTTTTCCCCTGGGAAGGTCTCCTGGGTTTTGTGTTCCTTGTCCTATCTTGGAGGCCACCTGGGGTCAGCACTCAGGTCTCCTTCACAACACAGTATTCAACAACATTTTGTTATTCCCCAATACTTTGTTATTTTTATTATTATAACTGTTTTGTTATTCCTTTCCCTGGGGGCCTCCTTCCATGTGGACTTCCTATCAAGGCTCCCCAGCCTCCTTCACCAAATGAGAGACTCTCACTCCTGGCATCCATTTCCTTACGTCTTGGACAACTGCCATCTACTTTTGGAATTAACAACTGCATGAACAGTAAAAAGGAAAATGTGCATGAGTAAAGGTTAATTATGTCACAAATAATCAGCGACCCTCCATCGCAGAGAAGACCCTTGGAATGGACCGTCCCTAGAACAGAGAGCCCAACATGCCACCGCTGCTGCTGGCTGACAAATGAATCTGTCATGCATTTCAGTTCCAGCCGTAAGTTGGGGATCAGGCAACATGTCATTATCCCCTTTTTAACCACTAGGAATTGATAAATGGCCCTGATGGCCATGGACACAGTAGGACATCAGCGATGATCTGTTGTCGCTGTGGGTTCTGCACAACCAGAATGCGTCCACAGTGACCAGGCCCCTCCCCCAGGAGCTCGCTGGGGGAGCACTGCAGAGAGCTCCCAGAGGTCCCCTCCCTTTGTTGAGTAGAAATAATGCTTACCATTAAAGATTGATTTGTTTGGCTCTGCAATGAGTTAAAACCTTTCCATCCCAGTTCAAGTGTTAATAAACCAGGGCAAGTGGCACTGGACTCTTCTAGTGGGGGCTTCTCTAGCACGAAGTCATTTAATGCAGCTTAGGGTCGAAGCCTAGGCTACACCTTCAGCTTCAGAATGATCCTAAGACCCTGATTTAAAATGCACATTACTGGGCCCGCTCCACTCCTGCTGAAACAGAAATTCAGGAAGGGGTGGCTGAGGAATACGCATTTGTAACAAGCTTCTCTTAAGAGTCTTCTCCAGAGGGTGAGAGGTATCTGGGAGCAGGATAAAGAGAGAGTAGATTACCCAGAGGGAGAAACCCAGTTCTAGGCCTCCTCCCCCAAATCCCCACCCTGAAAGCTAGAGCTCTCTCTCTCTCTCTCTCCCTCTCACACACACACACACACCACCACCACCACCACACACACAAACACGCACTTGGACAACTCTTGAGCCCACGATGCTGGAGGACCCTCTGTCCGAATGCCATGTGGGAGTGCCCACTGGGGCTTCCCCTGGCTTCTTGGCAAGGTTTCCTCATGCCTCTCCTTCTGGGAGCCCTTGCCTACCTGTAGGCTCTGGTAGCTCACGTTCACTGGTGATGAGAAAGTCGGAGTATGGCAAGTTGTAGAATTTTAATAGGGACCACTAGAATTCTTCCATCAATGCATCTCTGCACATCCTTGCTACTGGTGCAAAAATGCCAAATGTGTCTTTAGGAGCATTTAAAGTCAGAGAAAGAACAAATATAAAATAAAATAAAACCATCAGAGCAATATGTTCTTGTGTATACTAAACCTATTTATTTTCCTGCACAATTCTGTATGCTTCACTATCATCGTCACACTGATCTTCAGTTTTCTTTTCTTCACAAACAAGATGTTATCTGAAGTTAAACTGACAAACTCCATCCCAACACTGTGCTGAGCAAGGAAAGCAGACGGCTGACCACAAGAGACTTCAAAAGAGAAGGACGAGGAGAATGACGCCCCTGAAACTCCTGGATGAAAAAGAACAAACAAAGGAACACAGGAGCAAAATGTCCACCCTCGGGATGTGACCTGTCCACATGGAAGCACCGACAACGACCCGTCCAGGGCTGGGAAGAG